TTTCCTAACGTTAGGAAACGAAACTTCCAGAACACGGCCACACAGCCCGAAGACCCACACCAGCCACAATATATGTTTGCTTATCCTTACTTACTGCAAAAGTTGATGGACCTCCACTCTGAAATCTTGATCCCTAATGTTTGACAAGCTGCAGCATAGGAGGAGATAACATGACAGATGACATTCGTGTTGCCCTTATTGGAACAATAGTCAAAGACACAGTCTTTGAAGTATGGCTGAGGTGGCACCTTGCTATGGCACATCTTGAAAGGGCCATTGATGTCTAGTAGGAGGCCACACTCCCTACTCATTCTCTGGGTGTACTCCAAATGCACCATGTCTACACAGGATTCTTGTTCTTTCTCAAGGCATCCTGGGATATCCCGGATCTTCCAGCTTCTGCCAAGCTCCCCTGGATTAGTTGTGAGAATTCCCGTTTGCTGTAGCATGTCATCTTCTGCTCTTCCATTGAAATTGCCACATAGGCCACAGGTCCTTTCCCTGTAGCTTCCTGGTACTGTGATACGAATATTATTCTTCATGTCAAAGGTGACCATTAAGCCAAAATCTGTCATGATCACAATATCCCATCCCAGGTGGTAGAGGGAAATTTTGTTATAGTCAACATTGTAGGGCAGGTTGATCAGTAAGCCATTTAGCTGGAAAGCAGGGAGAAGAGAGAGAGAAGAACATTTCACAAGGTACATTAAACAAATCTCTCAGGGTGAATCTGGATGGAAGGAGCCTTCAGATCTTAAACTTGGTACAGCACAGAGATACTCACCTTGAAAATGCAGTGGGCTCTTTCAGACATTTCTTTCAACATACCCTTTAAAGGGGCTGTTTCCTCTTTTACCTGCTACCTCATTTTTTCTGACATTCCCATAGCCCTTTCCAACATGATTCCTGGAAATTGGTGGCATGGATTTTCTGCCATTTTGAGACAAGAAACTAAAAAAACCATCCTATAATGTATACTATAAAGTACACTGAACATAGTTTTTTAAAAATAAAATAGTTCCTGTTGTCTGAAAAAATGTGGGGAAAAGTAGTCATTGCATCCTGCCTATATTTTCATCATCACTCCACAGTATGGACCTCTGCCCCCTTAAAAATGTTAAATGTGGCTTTCAGCTATCAACAGGTTGTCTATCCCTGTGCAACTGCATTGACATATCCAAAAAATGGGTAGCGCACACCTTGTTTGAAGACCAAACAGAGAGTTCATCAAAACTGGGAGCAATTTTAAAGATAATGTTCTTGTCTTCCTCCTATGACTTATTGTAAAATAAAAGTGACATTAGCAGTACAACAGTTCTAGCCACACAATTTCCCACCAGGAAATACAGAGATTATCAGGGCTCAGCCAGATGTGTTATCTCCCTTAGAAGAAGACCAAGCTGATAGACCTGCCTTTGCAGATGCACCAGAATCTGGCAAGCCCCAGGACTTGCACTTATGCCTGAATACTCTGATCAGGAGGCAAGACCACCCAGGACTGAATATGCAGTGGAAAAGGCTGAAGAACCAGAAGGTGAAAGAATGACCTTTGGCTGGGGAAAGCTGAAACTCTGCATAATCAAATTCTACCAAATTCAAAGCTCCTTAGCTTCATCTGTACCCGGGTGGGGAGTGCAGAAGTCTTGAGTATTAAAAATTAACTCAGAAAGCAGGTTTCTGGCTAGAATAACTTTGGGGTCAGTTTTCCTCTGAACTGTATATCTTGTATCGACCAGGGTGAATTCCTTGATCCATTCACCACTACTCAGATAAGCAGGATTAGCACCAGATTAACAGGAACAATCAAGGAAGAAGAAGGGGAAAAAAATCAGATGGCAGGCAGTGAAGGAAGAAAGGTTAGGAGGACAAGCTACCATATATAAACAGCCAGCAAATGTTACTCTCCCATGCACCAGTGGTGTTACCTAGCCTGTCAGTGAAACATCTGCAGGAAGAGAACTAAGCTCAGAAAACTTTAAGAACCCAACAGTTTGTGTCTGTTCTCCACTTATTGTAATTAATCAACCTCTGGAGCGGACAACTGCTCTGGTCTCATCTCTTGCACCTTGACTCTCAATGTGAATTGTTAGAATTTTGCCTAGCCCTTTGCAGCTCTGATTAAAAGCTTATTTATAGCTCTGTGACCAAGTATGGTAGAAGGTGGACTCAATTGTTACTGTACTACTTCTTTCATTCACTGTTGATCGTGTACTGTAGGGTTGTTGAGGTTGTTGTTGTTGTTCCTGGGGTAGTGGTGGGAAAAGCAGGGTCTCAGGTGGTCCTGCTGATTATTCTGAAGGAGCCCCATGGGGAAAGAAACAGTAAAAAAAAAAAAATCCCTAAAGTTAATAAAATAAATACAACAAATACTACTTTGAAAAAGGAAAGAGTCTTGGAGTAAAAATGATTCTATAGGGCCATGCAGATCTTCAAAAGGGGGTTCTGCTTTGATGATGGTTGGAGCAAAACAAGGCCTTGAAGCTGTTTCATAAGCCAAGATGGTTCTGCTGTTTCTAAGAGCTGCCTGCTTTTTTACCTTTCTCATCTCTCCAGCAGCAACACAGTTGCATAGTAAAAAGATTTCTGGGCATGCAGAGTACCGTTACAAGCATCTCTGCTGGCTTTTGCAAGTGCAAGAGAAAGTAAGAGGAGGGTGCAAGGTGATGAGAAACACCTCGTTGAGTTAAATCATGTTGCCTCTTCACCCTGATAAGGCCACTCAAGTTGCTTTTACAGCATAAAGTGCCTCATTGAAACAAATCAAAACCTTCTTGCACAAGCCAATTATCTTAAATATGCCTGAGTGAACAAGCATGTCTTCAATTATTGTTTAAAACAAGACTGCACGAGGGCCAGCTGTTCTTTTCTGGGGAAAGAGTTCCCTAATTGGAGGCAGGGGCTCACTCAATTTCCTTTTTAATTTGAGCAGTGGTGCAGACATTTGTTATCTGCCCTGCTGCAAATGTGCATCGGTAGAATTTCCTTAGAACAGGAATAGGAAACCTATGGTACTCCAGCTGTTGATAAGCTATATCTCCCAACATCCCTGGGAAATACAGTCAAAAATGAGGAATGTTGGAAATAGTCGTTAAGTAACATCTGGAGAACAACAGGTTATCTGCCTTTGTCTGAAAAAGTAATATGTAAATGGAAGAGGTTTATAACTTCTGATCAATAATTAACAATTTCCCAATCATCCTGTTTCGATTGCTCGTTCCTTTCTGATAGGATGATAAACCCTCCCAAAATAAAGAGTGATGGATCAACTCAAAGAATCGCACAAGTACAAATAGGAGAAGGGTGGAAGATGCTATACTGTACTCACCAAGACTTTGCTATCGCTGACAAGCACTGCCATCCCGTAAACATGGACCTCAAGAACTTTGGTGGCAGCTGGGTTCTTGAGTCCCTGTCTTTGGTGCTGAACCAGGACTTGGAACTGAGTGAGGTTTCCTATCGTGTGGCAGAGTTCAGCCAAACGATAAACACAAGTTCCATAGAAGTCATAGTGCAATCCATCAAAGGTGATATAATGCAACTGGCCCAGAGCAGTGCAGGTCCCATAGAAGGTTGGATAACACTTCCTTATGCCATTAACCACATGGCACCCCTCTCCTTCCCTGCAAGTGGAGCTGTGGCAGACCACCTTCCTGTCTCGTGAAATGCATACACACTGCTGATGGCATTGGTGATCATCCCAGAACTGCTCATTGGGGGCATAGATCTGACCGTGATAGATGCAGCCACATTGGTCTTTGGCAATACATTTACCACCATCAAGCACATAGCCTGGCTTGCACTGGCAGGTCTCCATGCAGGGCAGGTGGCACGTCTTTGGAGCATCAGGGTTGCTGCAAGTGGCAGGACATGCTGTGCCACAGGCCATGTGCTGGCTGTGGTCTGGACAAATCAAGGCTGTAGAAGGAAGAACAAACATGGTTAGCTATTGGTGTTATCTTGTAGAAGATCTCATCTTTGCTGTATAATAAAAGGTTGTGAAACACAGAAGTTTTATGTCGGTATATTTTAAACTATGTATTTAAATAGGTATTTCTACATTGCCTTAAGCATCACAAGAACAAAAACAAAGCAAAATGAAAGGGAAAACCACCCTAAGATGGTTTCGGCAGAATACAGAAGCTCCTTCTTCAAAAGATTGAACTGCTAATGCATGTTTAAGATCACTTTTGGGCCCAGTTTAAGGCACAAACCTAAGACTGCTAATCAAGCTACTTGTTTATTAGATCCACGTTCCTCCTGGTTGGTTGAGGTCTCCTGGGAAGTGATATGTGGTTGGGTCCATGCGGTGATGGTCATCCTTGAGAAAGGAGGTGGTGATATATCTCTTCTCAAGAAGCCATTGCTGGACTCAATGCTTGTGGACAATTTTCCCTCCAATCTCCAACCTTCCCTTTTTGAGTAAGGTTGTTGAGTAAGTGGTCAGACTGCAGCTTCAGGAGGCCCTGGAAGAAGCAGATTATCTGGATCCATTTCAGTTTGGTTTCAGGCTGGGATACAGTACAGAGGCAGCATTGATCACACTTGTTGGTCACCTTTGGCAGAGCTGGGGAGGTGGTGGTGTGACCATTGTGGTTCTTCTTGATCTCACAGTGGCTTTTGGTACCATCAGTCATGATATCCTTCTGGACTGGGTTTGGGAGTGGGAGGCCAGGTGTTGCAAAAATTCTACTCCTTTCTCTGTGGCTGGTTCTAATCTGTCTCACTCTACAGTTAGTGTTGAGGTGAGGATAGGTCCATCCTGAAGCTCCTGATTTGTGAAGTGCTTCAGGAATTGATGCTCGCTCCTCCTGTTTATATCTAAGTTAAGGTCATCCATCAACATGGGGTCAGGTATTATTGGTACGCTGATGATACTCAGCTATATATTTAGGCCCTGGTTGACTAAGTGATGCTGCTGAGGTCTTGTCCTAGTGTCTGGAGGCTGTTAGGGTCTGGATGGGGAGGAACAGGCTTTAACCTCAAGCCTGACCACACTGAGTAAATGCATGGTTCTTTCACTGCTGGAGATTCTGCATATTTGGTTTTGAATGGTGTGGCACTTCTTCAAATAGAACAGGTGTGCAATTTGGGGTCCTCCTGGACTCACAGCTCCTGTTCTGAGAGTAAGTGGTAGCTGTCACCAGGAAAGCCTTCACACAGATTTATCTGAGTCCCAAATGCATCCTTTCCAAAACCAGAAGTTCCTTTTCTCAGTCACTCACCTTTTGTGAGTGCTCTACTCTACAAGAGGCTACTCTTGACCATTCAGAAATTACAGCTGGTGCAGAATACGGCAGTTATTACCCAGTATAAGGTAATCTGGGGTACCATGCCCCTGTCTGTTTCATGAACATCTACTAGGCAACCAAACAAATGGACTCTTTCTGACATTCCTTGTCTAAATCCCAATTCATCCATTCCAACTTATATGGATTGGCTGGTTCTCTGGCTATATTTTCATTGTTGCTCTTCTCCATCCATCTTAACATAATCAGTGTTCTTATTTTCTGATTATTTTTTAGCAGCCCATCAACTCATCTCTTCAGAGAACTGATTTTTTTTAAAAAAAATGTAACGTTATAGTCAATCTCTATTCCATTTACCTGCAACATCTGTCTGGCCATACATATATGCAACCCTGATTTATGACACACATTCCATTCTGGAATGACAGTACCCTCCTACAAATGCCTGTCACTGTAAAACTAGTTGGAGCCCTATCTCCATAAATTCCCCGCTGTACTCACGGCAGCCAGCGTGTTTCCTCCAGGCAGATATTGCCATCCCTTCTCTTTGACAAGCATCAGCGTAAGTCTTCAGGGCTCGACACAAAATCTGCTTGTAACCCTCAAAGGCACATAAATCAATTACACAGTCATTCAAATATGGCTTGGGATCAATCAAGGAATGGCAGCGATGGAAAGGACCACCTCTGTGTTTAGAGATCATACCACATAAAGTTTCTGCATTGTATTGGGCTGCTAACTCTGCAGAACACTGCAGGCATTTGCCATGGCAGTCATGCCTGCAAGCAATGTCTCCATCTTCCACTTTCCAGATCTTGCCCAATTCCACAACATTGGTGGCCAAGTTTCCTGACGGGGTAACAAAGTCATCATTGGGATCTCCATTGTAGTTGCCACAAAGGCCACAGATTTGACTCTGAAAAGCTGGCGTGACCTTCACCACTAGATAATAGTTCCAATCATAGTAAACCTTCAGACCAAACTGTGTTTCGATAACCAGTTGGTTCCCCCGATGGTATAAGGAGACTGTCCCATCATGTAAACGTATAGGCAGACGAGAGCGTAGCTGGTTAACCTAGAAGAGACAGAGGCCAGTGATCACTGTTTGTTGTTAAGATTACATATTTTACAAATGAACTGGATTTCAACAAAACACCAAAGTATTTAGTGAGTTGCAATTTCACTTTCAGAAGCATTTTTTGGTTTTAAAAAAGCTAATGCTGTCTTAATAGGAATTCTAGAATGTAAGAGCAGATGGACGTTTTTGGGGTTAGACCATAGGTCCTTCTAGTCCAACTAGTTCAGGCCCTGAACTCAAGCAAGCATATAGCTTGGTTAGGTATTTGCAGATGCTGGTGCACAAGATATCTTAACCAGCACTTGTATTTTTAAATGGGAACTAGGAAGTAATTAACCACAAAAGCTGATTTGTGGTTTATTAACTGTGTATTCTCACTATATGCAGAAAATCTAACCCATGTTATCAAAAATAAGATGATTGGCATTTGACATCGTTACCGGTCAGCATGTATTATATGATTTTATAAAGGTCGCATCTACCCTCATTCAGTGGGCAGAACCCTGTGCAGTCCATTAAACCTGGCTCGAGCAGATTGTGTGATCTCTACTTGTCAATTGGATTGTGGGGAATTTTCCTCTGCATTGGCATATAAACAGTAATGCTTCTAGTTCCAGTGCTCAAGTTTGTTTTTTGAGCTAAAACAGCATCGTCTATGCACAAGAAAGATAAATCAGCAAGTTTAGAAATGGCACCTTGATATTGGCAGAAAAGCAAAACATCTGTAGAAAAAGAAACACTGAAATAGTGAAGTACTCTGGAGAGTCAGTTCCCATGGAATGGTGGTGGACTGTTAAAAGGGAGAAATAGAAAGCCTGGGCATATGAACAAAAGCTTTCCACATTGCAACATTTTGGATGGAAGTATTATTATGTGTAGTAAAATATTTCCTAAACTGGCACTCTCCAAATAAGTTGGGACTACCAATCTTTTGGCCATGTTGACTAAGTTGTGGTCTCATCTCACCTCATCTGCAAAGTGCCAGGTTAGGTACAGTTGACATAAGCCATCAGCACTTTCTCAGTGTTAATGAAACTGTACAAAGATGGTTCTTACTCTGACAAGGCCATATTCATGCTTGATCATGGTGATGCTGGAGTTGTAGATGGTGATGGTGACGTGACTGATGAAAGAGAATGGGGAATTCTTCTGACTCTTGGTGAAGATGTGAAAGAATGGCAGGTTGGTGCTGGTGCTGCAGGTCTTAACCACTGTATAAGAGCAAGTACCTTGGAAATCAAAGCTGCGTCCATCAAAAGTGTGATAATGGGGCTGACCAGAGGCCCAACACATTGCTTGGGGAGATATAGCAGGAACACATGTAGGTGAACCATCCACAATGTTACAAATCATCCCCTCCCAGCATTGAATTGTCTGGCATGAATGCGTAGGGAGCACACATTTGGGCCAACCATTTATAATTTGACAAATAGTCCCACTATGACAATGGGTGTTTCCACATGAGGTTGGCATGGGAGTGCATCGGGGCCATCCATGTGCCATGTCACAGACAGTTCCAGCAGGACAGTGAATTTGGCTACAGGAAGGTGTGATGGGCATACACTGTGGGCTTCCATCAATGAGTTGACACACAGTTCCCACTTGACAATGCATAGAAGCACATAGGAGCACTGACGATGCTGGAACACATGTTGGCCAGCCGTTCATGATTTGGCATACCATCCCTTGTGTACAGATGGTTTTGTCACAGGAAGATGGGATTGGTACACAAGTTGGCAGTCCATTAACAATCTCACAAATGGTACCTTCCTGGCAGTTTGACCTATCACATGAAGACGGGATAGGAAGGCATCTTGGCCAGTTATCAACCATTTTACAAATACTTCCCTCTTGGCAGGTGAACTGATCACATGACAGTGACATGGGAACACATTGAGGCAAGCCAGAAACCATTTGGCATACAGTTCCAACATTGCAACTGGCATTTCCACAAGAAGGGGGCATCGGAACACACTGTGGCCAACCATTAATTATTTGACACACTGTCCCACCCTGACAATGGAATTTGTTGCAAGAGGGGGAGCTAGGAAGGCATTTTGGCTGCCCTTCATATATCTCACACACGGTTCCTTCATTGCACCTGATGTTTTCACAAGAGGGTGAGATAGGAACACATCTGGGCCAACCATGGCTGATTTCACAAACTGTTCCATGGTTGCATTGAAAATTATTACAAGAAAGTGAGATGGGGAGACATTTTGGATGCCCTTCATATATCTCACACACAGTCCCTTCATTGCATTTGAAGTTCCCACAAGAGAGTGAGAGGGGGACACATTTGGGCTGCCCATGAAATGTCTCACATACTGTTCCTGCACCACAGTTGAGGTTTTCACAAGCAGAGAGACCAGGAACACACGTTGGCCAACCATTATCGATCTGACAAATAAACCCTTCTTTACAACGGAAATTGTAACAGGAAGGGGATATGGGAATACATTTTGGAAGTCCATCATATATTTCACATTTGGTCCCTGCACGGCATTGGACTTTTTCACAGGAGTTCAAGAGTCGACTACATTTGGGCCAATCATCAACCATTTCACAAATAGTTCCCTCTTTGCACTGGATTTTATCACAGGAAGCTGGAATAGGCACACACATAGGCCAGTCATCAATAATTTCACAAGTGCTGCCGTCTTTGCAGCGTAGTTTGTCACAGGTTGGTGGGATGGGGACACACCGAGGCCAGTGATCAATTATTTTACAGGTGGTCCCTTGTCTGCAGTGGATTTTATCACAGGATGCGGGGATTGGCACACATTTTGGCCATCCTTCCACAATTTCACAAACCGTCCCTTGTTTGCAATAGATGCGCTCACAAGAGGGAGGGAGTGGAACGCACACAGGCTGGCCATTGACTTTTTCACAGGTGGTTCCCACTTTGCACTGAAGCTTGTCACATGTGGGCGGGGTTGGGACACATTTAGGCCAGCCATCAATTATGTTACAGACAGTGTGCTGAGGGCACTGTATTTTCTGACACGTAGACGGCAAAGGTATGCACGTGGGCCATCCACGGACAACTTCACAAATAGTTCCCTCTCTGCACTTATATCTGTCACAAGACAGCGGGATGGGTATACAGGTTGGTACGCCATTCACCATTTCACACACAGCTTCCTCTTTGCAAACGACGGATGCACACGTTGTTGGTGCAGTGGGAATACATGTTGGCCAACCATTGACGATGTCACAGACTGTTCCTGTCTTGCACTCAATGCTCTCACAGGAGCGTGGGAGAGCTCTGCATGTGGGCCAATTGTTGACAATTTCACAGATGGTTCCCACTGGGCACTGTACATTGTTGCAGGAGATGATGGCAGGCACGCATTTTGGTACCCCATCAAGGATCTCACAGATTGTTCCTTCTTTACAGTGGATCTTGTTGCAAGAGGGTGGGATAGGCACACATAAGGGCTTACCATCTGCTAGCTCACATACAGACCCAGGCCTGCAGTGGATTTGGGCACAGGACTGTGGGACAGGAAAGCATCTGGGCAGGTGATTCACAATTTTGCATTCAGTACCAGCTTCACAATTTAAATCTTTGCAAGTTGGCCTTGGAATGCATTTTGGCCAACCATCAACCATATCGCACATAGTTCCTTGCTTGCATTCAATATGGAGGCAGGATGGTGGCAACGGGACACACTTTGCTCGGCCATTGACCATTTCACACATGGCTCCTTTTTCACAGATGATGTCACTGCACGATGCAGACGCTGGGATACACTGAGCCTGGCCGTGAACAATCTGACATCTCGTTCCACCTTTGCAATGGATGCCCTGGCAGGAAGGTTGGTTGGGCACACACTGGGGCCAGCCATTAATGAGTTCACACCCCATTCCTGGGTTGCATCGAATGCTTTGGCAGGACACAGGCACTGGAATACACTGAGGCCAACTGTTAACAACTGCACAGATGGTTCCTTCTTTGCACTGAATAGCTGCACACGATCGTGGCACTGGAACACATTTAGGGAAGCCATCTGCCAGATTACAAATTGTCCCTTCTTGGCATTGGACATTATGACAAGATGATGGGTAAGGAACACATCTGGGCAAACCGTCAACTATTGCACAGAGTGTCCCTCCTTGGCACTGGATGGTATTGCAGGACTGAGGTTCTGGAAAACACTGTGCCTGATTGTGAGTAGCTCTGCAAACATATCCTTTCCCACAATTTGCTTCACTGCATGGATCAGGAGGAGAACTCATCAGAGGCATCATTGCTAGAAAACAGAAACAAATTACAGATGATATACGAAAAAACTGCCAGGATAGAAAGGCCTTGGAAGTTTCAAAGAGTAAAGAGATGCTAATGGGCTATTACACAGAACTGCAATGTTCGTCAGCATTCATCGTTCATGTTCATGGAGGATGTGGCTTTTTAAAAAAAATCAATACACCTTGAGTTTTAGTTGGACTGCCAGATATGGCATTGCTGATTAAAATGCTAATGCCCTGAGCAGAAATCAGTACAGATGTAATTTGTGTAATGTGAAAGGGGAGGGGGGAGTGAACCCCATTCATATCTAATTCAGACTGAAAAACAAATTAAAATGATTCTGAATTAAATAATTCTGAATTAACATTTTATTTCATTCCCTTTACACGGCGTCCATTATATAGAGCTGTAGAGAAAAGAATCTGCTCCACCAGGTGGTGGAGCAGGCAACGTTGTGAGAAAAAGCAACATTCATCACCGGGACAAAGCTTATTTGCATACTGGATACAGCTGCAATTTTTGATTTACTGAATTGCTGGAATACATTAAGGAACAAATAGTTTGTGCTTTTATGCTATTCGCATTGACTCAGTAAAATAAAACCCTGGGTGCTGGGTGCCTTAAGTTTATAAGGGTACGTATCTTCATTCTCCTTCTTCTTTCCCACGCTCAGTGGTCTGAAGGCTCCTGTGGGTGGAATGCAGTTTGAAATGCTAGTTAGCTGATTCTAGTTCTCGTTGCTGCAGAGACTACAGTGTAGCCCTGGAAAACCTGAGACCTAAATTCCACGATTTGTGGATTTAGGATACACAGCATCCCTCATCATTGGCTGTTATCAGCCCAAGATGCTAATAAGGGTACTCTAGCAACATGTTAGGAACACGTGGGAGGTCGCAATTTTCACACGCTGAATGCCTGAAGCAGCATTACTGAGGTTTGCTGGCGAGATCTTTCGTTGCAATTTTGTTTGCTGACCTCATATCCAGGGTCTGATTACTCCTGGATGACCTCAGTATGAGGATGAGAAGGTCTGAACTATCTTAGTAGCTTGGATTTGATTTAGAAATCCCTGTTGGCGGGTGGCTGCAGAGAACAAAAGATGCTATAAGGGTCTTCCTGCCACTTCCTAGTTAAAGGTCTAAAATATAATGTATGGAAACTCCTCCACCCCTGTGGATCATAGAAAGCACCCCTTCTCAGTGACTATGCCCTTTAACTAAGTACAGCCAAAGTGTATTGACTTTTAGGGCATACCAAGGCCTTGGGAAAAGGTAAAACTTAGATTTATTATAGGTTTTGCTCCTGATTAATATATTGTTATATTAATCTAAGTGCAGTATGCCCTTGTCTGTGCAAGAAGACTACTAAGCTAACATTCAAATTGGAGTCCCACATTTCCCCAGATGAGATTTCAAGCAAGAATTTTTTGATTTATTTACAGTATATAAAATAATTATATTAAATATTTAATATATTAAATATTGAGTATATTAAATACTCAAGGACACAAAAAACCACCAAGTAGCTCAAAGACAGTGAAAATAAGATACAGAAACATCCAATTACAAAATATAAATTAAGGCAGGCTAGTCACCATTAGCATCCAACTGCCCTGTGCAATAAATAGGTCTTAAGGGCTTTCTTAAAGACCAAAAGGTTAAGGGCCTCCCATAATTTAGGATGCAAGATATTTAGAATGTGGGAGCCAGCACAAAAAGGAAATATCTTTGAACATGTGTTCTCTTTATTTCATGTAGATCTGGGGACCTTGGTATCCCCTCCCTAAACAAACACATAGGGTGGATTGAAAATTCTGGGAACTAAAGATAATAATTAGTACTTTGAATGGGATGCAGAAGTTGACTAGTAATCAGGGCAGCAGCTGTAGCATTGGTGACATGCAATTAAATCTGCTCCCACCAGCTAACAAATGGGCCACCACATTTTGGCCCAATGTAGTTTTTGAATCATCTTCAAAGGCAGCCCCATGTAGGACATGTCGCAGTAGTCCAACTATAATGTTATGAATGTATGAATCATGATTGTCAGGGCATCCAGGACCCAAAAGGCCCATCATTGGCACACCAGTCAAAGCTGGGCAAAAGTCGTCTTGGCCTTAGCCTCCATCTGCTGTTCTAGCAGGAGTCATGAGTCCAAAAAATCCCCAAATTGCAGTTCTGCTCTTACAGAGGGAGTGAGACCCCATCCGGAGTGAGAGTTAGAACCAGAATCAGGATCACCAAGAAGCAACAACTCTGTCTTGCAGGGAATTAATTAATTAAATAAATAAATAAATTAATTAAATAATTAAGCTTGTCTTGACCCATCTAGAGCAGTGTTTCTCAATCTTGGCAGCTTGAAGATGTGTTGACTTTCACCCCCACAAATACCCCGCCAGCCCTCCTGGCTGTGGGATTTTATGAGGTTGTGGCCACACACCCTTACACTGGCCAAG